ACCCCATCCGACCATTTTTACGGCATGCCCTCCTTGATCGGACCCAGATTTTTGCTTAACATACGGTTCTAGAATTCGAAACAAAGAAGAATGCATAAGCTCCTGCGAATTCATACAATATAGACTCCTCCTTTGTAGTATCTGAAATCAGAGTAAACTCTGAAAGAGGCGAGCACTGGTCCGTGGTTATATATCTCTCTTCTGATGGCTGTCTCGTTTGCAGTGATATAGTAGCTACCGCTCCCTAAAAAAAGCAAGTCTGGTTTTTTGTTTCTTTGCAGAGGAATTCCAGTTTATCTATCGATATGGAAGGATGAAATGTTGGAAAAGTGCTGCTTACCCCAAAACTTGTCATCCTCGTAATCCTTGCTATATTTAAATTGACAAGTATTGCGGCATGTCGGTGTGTCCCAAGTATTTGTCGGGCATGGACCATAGTAAGTTTGATTTGCATGTTGGCCACATGGATAAAACGCGTACGGCTTGCAGCAGTCCTGAATTAGCATTACGTCGATTTTCGGCTATCACACTTCAAATCAACCTTATAACCATATGGTCCTCCTGTGCAGATACCCGATGATGTAAAGTAAGTCCAGCCTCGAGCGGTATAACCACCCTCGCATCTGAAGTGGGCTTCAGGTGATAGAAATACTAATTCTTTAGTTTACCCGTATCCGCAATATGATCCACAGCACGAAAGCAAGTCGGTGTCAGAGATGTGCACCTAGAATGATAGTGAAGGAACGCTTGATAGTTATTTTCTGCCTCGAAAAACTGATATACTTATATCAAAAATATCATTACTAAGTTGATATTTGGTGAATTTTAGTCGGAGGCTGAGGTGGTTAACTCCACGGAAAGTTTATGTAACTAGGCGATATTTTTTGATGGCAAAAGTCCAGATTTTGTTTAGATGACGCTCAAATTGCACTTAATTGACCGCGAGAGCTTCTGGCGAACTTTACAATTTTCTGACTTTAAGGGCAAAATAGTGAAGCGTAGTTCTAGCTGTGCTGCTTTGTTATACTGCAAAATGTACAATCAGACGG